CTGTATCCTCTGATAATCCCTACATCTAATAGTTCCGGATCGCAGCCGGGTTAGACGCTGGGATATTTCCAAAAATGGATCGGGAGTGAAACGTCATGTTGACTTCCCTTTATCGGCCATGTTGATGGTAACCTGTGGGAGTTCATCATCTTCCACGATCGATCTTCTCTTACAGAAACGCTTTGGCTTAGGCTTCAATGCTTCAATGGAAAGCCTTTCAAATACCGAGACCCTCTGTGGAGTGGTCTTGGGATAACTATACTCTGATAATACTGCCCTGATTAGCTTTTCACAAGGACGGTGAGAGTCCATTTCTTGGATACTTCTTTTCTGAGACTTGTTCATACCCCTATCTTGATAGTACAACTCATCGGCATGATGACCGGAGCAACCTATCGTGTGTTGGCATGACTTCTCAGGTGTAACGTTGTCGTCTGATGGACACGTTTCCTTCTGGGGAAATAATGCCTTGTTGGCGTTCTCAAGAATCACACATTTGGAACCACGCTTTCATGATTGTGGGACCTTAACGGGCTCTTGGACTTCAACATGCAATCCGAGGTGTGCAGTTATAGGAATTTTCCCAATATGGGATGACTCTGACTTGTTAGAAGGATGCGTACGACCCCCAGCCTAAAGAGTGACTTGGATTTTATTCATTGGACCCAAACGTTCTTTAACCGGAGCTTTACCTCGATCCTCGTGCAAAAGACTAAGGCGATCCATCATCGTTATCTTGAATCGGGACAAATCCACACTACCGTAGGACTTTATCGGAGGTATGAGATCATCTGGAACAGAAATGGAGGCTGTTAGAGGCACGAAAACAATCACGGGAGGTGAAGCTGGCGCGAGCCACCTCAAGGTGGCTTGGAATTTTCGAGCCACCTTGAGGTGACTCGGAATTTTCGAGTCACTTTGAGGTGACTTGGATTTTCTGATTGCTTCGGTCGCTGTCCGAGTTGTTTTTGACGTTGTTTTGGACTTCAGACTCTAGACTTGGTGTGGTTTTGGTGGTTTTTTCCACCTCTTCTTTCTATAACTCTTGTGCCTCCTGCATAAGAATCCGTGCATGCATGAGCTGTGCGCAGCGTTTCTGAATGCGTTCCTCAGGAGTTGAACAGGTCCTTTTGACACGGATCCATTCACTGGTTGATTGTTTGGAGGAGGAGTGAATAGCTTGTTGGTGAGGCGGTTGTGTCGTGCGACGCCTCATAGACTCCAGATCCGCGTGATAACGGATCCTGTCAACTAGCTCCAAAGCTTTGGCAAGTTGATGCACGAGGCGTTGGCGTTGCCTATGACGAGCCCTCTTCGATAGAGTCAACACGTCTTCATCAATTAACTCCTTGATTGAGGAGGGGTTGTTGTGATCAGCAGATCCGACTTCGTTAGATGGCTGAGGGGCGTTGTAGGGAGAAACCGCAGCAACAACTGGGCTAGATTCATCACCATGGATCTTCTTCAGATCTGAAGACCCGCGAACCTTCCTTGAAGAAGAGATCTTCCTGCACTTATGAGAGAAAGAGGATCTGGAGGAGGAGGAGAGTTATTCCTCATACTTTTGCTGGTCGAACTAGTACTCGACCTCTACATCAACCGAGATCTTGATCCTTAGTTGCGACACGACAGCATCGACAGAGAGACTGTTCGCTCCCACTGTGGTCGCCAGCGTGTTTGCTTCAGAAATCCAGAAATCTTTTTATTCGTGAAATCCATTACAACGTTTATCGATTACAATAGATTCAAAAGAAAGAGCCTTTTTATAAGACTTTTCTACACAAATAAAACAAACAGATATGATCTCCTAGAAACACAGGTAGGATCGTTTATCAATCGTTGCTTGCATGGGATCTTTATCTGTGCCAGGGACTCTTTGATCCATAGACCGTCGAGTATCAGATCCGGTTGATCTCTTTTTACAAAGGAAACAAAAATTAAAGTAAATAACCTCAACAAAATGAGATTATACTCTTCTTAAGATCAAAATGAATTCCAATCTTAAGGAAGCAAATGGAAGGTTGCTCAAGGGGTTTCAGATCTCTTAAAATCTTTCTCTTTATGCTGAAGTTTACCGAGATCTCACTAGCCTCTCTCTGAAATTTGTGGGTCTGCTTTCACAGGTTCAGCACCTCTCCTCCAAGCTCCAAAAATCAGATCCCCATGTATAGGGCCCTAGGGATGTATTTATACACTTCGGATGTTGTGTTTTTGGATAAGAATTCATGATTTGATCTTATCTTCAGTTAATAATGGCTTAACCATGTTTAGAGATGATCCCAAGGCAGTTAGGGAGGTAGTGGAATGCTTAAATCCTGAGAAAATCATTAAAATACGCGTTTTGGGCATCTGAGTGTGCGAGTCACCTCGACGTGACTCGGCACTATGTGAGTCACCTCAATGTGACTCGCACACCAGCAGGTCACTTCGATGTGACTCGCAAGTGACGAAGCCCTATTTTGGTTGTGTTTCGTTATTTCGCGCATCTCGCTCATTTGTACGCTTCACTGACTCGCTTTGTGCGCTTGTTTTCTTCTTTATAGCATCGGATGATCTCATTTGACTCAGATGGTGACATATATCGTCTTCGCTTCGTGTCGAACTACGTGCGGGAACCTATATGTAATTTTTCACGCCTACACGCACGAGACACCCATGCAAGACACAAAAGGTGTCTTGCGCGGGCTACAAGACAACCAACGGGATTTTTCAGATGCGGTTTTTTTTTTTTTTGCCTGTTTTTGGGTCTAATTTTTTGGGTATAAATAGAATCGCGTTCCTGGGGTTTCCTAGAGGGTTTTCTGAGGTTTTAGACGGCTGCAGAGAGAGTTTTTCAGATCTAAAAGGTAAGATCTTGATGAGAGAAAAGTGAGAGAACTTAGAGCGATTGTACAAGGAAGAGGTCAGTTTTCTTCGGTAAAATCGAAGTCTCTTCTCTTTGGGACGAGCTTGCTGGTTGTGCAAGTCGTTGGTGTTCTCCTTCATAATTGAATCTCCCTTCACCCCTCCCCATGGACGTAGGCAAGTTTGCTGAACCATGTAAATCTCGTGTCTCACTTATTGTATTGGCTATTGCTTGTGTTGGTTGGTTCCCTTGATATTCAGACTTATATCTGATATTTAGAAGAGTGTATATCTCACCTTGTTGAGATATTTCACTTCTGTTCTTGTTTCTATCGAAACTAGAACATTGAGATTGGCTTATGTTTTGTGAAAACAAAAACCAAAGCTTTTCTCTCAATGTGATTCGCTTCCGCGGCGAGGTGGGCGTATCGGCCCCCAACAGCTATGATATTACTTACGACTAACAAAACAAGATCTTATTAGTGGAGTGAGCACACTGTATTACTCCATAAAGGAAATGCTAATCTCTAGCGATGTGTGACTATTACATAAAGAACTTAAAGAATGCGAATATTGCGTTGTTGGTTTGGACTCATTGGTTTAACACTGTTAATTGACCGTGTTAAGTAAATCCAAATGGAAGGCTACATCGATCCTAATGACAAGCTATGTCGATTAAACTTTATAAAATATTAGATCTGCAACTTGATAGGCATTAAACGATAATGAACAGTTGCTATTTAGATAAGTATTAGTTCTTGGCAATTCCTCTACTACCAATTAAGAGATAACCTTGATGTCTTAATCTTAATAACAAATTTGGAATTTTCTATGCTGGCCGCCAAAAGAAAACAAAATTTCAACTCTATTTGCATGTACTTAATACTGTTACACCCAACCTGTTCGCTATATTCAGCCTCAACCTTGTATTGCCCGAAGTTGAAACTCGGTTACGACGCATCTGGATACAAAGTCGCATTGAAGATGCAATATATAAATATAACCATTTATTTATTGTTCAGAAAATTTTATTATTTAATAATTAGCAATTATTTATACTTAAAGCCTTAATTTCATTTAAGAAATTGAGATTGTAATAAGTAAAACACTGCATCGCTTCATGGGATCACTTCATGGGGTTGCAGGTACATAGAGGAATTATTTATACTTAAAGCCTATCACTTAAACGCCTACTCCCTTTTTATCTTTTTCTAACAAACATATGTAGCCATATAGAATTCAAAATGCTTTTCAACTAGATTATGGGGATATTAGATCTAACATCCATTAATTTGTATTGTTTTCTACTTACATGATTAAAATTCTATAGGCTGGCTTGTAGAAATTTTGTAGAGCAAAACAAATACATAACCTCCAAGGGAAAACAGGGCTCACTCCACTTGGATGTTATCGAGTTGATTATAAATCCAGTTAGACAAAATACTTAGATTAATGCCGCTTTTAGTTTGCGTTGCGTAATATGTCTGAATGAGAAAAGTTATTGGCATTTGAGTAAATAAAAATATATGTAAATTTCAGTAAATACATAATAAATTAATAAATTTGGGACTTTGACTCTTAAACTCAAAAGTATCAAACCCCAAAAATTTTAAATATAGCTCTCGATAAATTTAGAAATTCTAGAAAATTTATAAAATGTTTTGATTTTTCACTTAACCTCCATAATGGCACCAGCCCATGTTTTGAGCCTCCAATCAGAGAATATCACATAAAATATGATAAAAATAACCATTAGGAAATAAGTGATAAAATCAAAATGTTTTAAAGGTTTTCTAAAATTCTCAGACTTACTAGGAATCTAGTGAGATGTAAAACTTTTTGGAGGTAAGTGCCAAAGGCCTAAATTAATTGTGGGATTCCTGAACTTTACCTTAAAAAATATCTTCAAAACGGATGGTGCATATATCCATGACATGTTAGAGCTGTTACGGTAGAAGAATATATTAAGTGTATTATCTCATGAGTCCTTGTATCTGCAATTACTATTTATTAGCTTAACTAATGGACTTGTAAGATTTTAGTCTATCTTTAACGAGGAGAACATATAATAAGCAATAATATAAGATTTTTTTTCCTTAAGTAAATTAATTACATGATTTTGATAAGTGTTCATTCGTATGTTTGACCTTTGAAAGGAAGACTACCTCTAAGCATCTACTTCCGTGAAAGGACCCAGACCTTATAAAAGCTGTTTGCTGCAGTCATCATTCTGAAAGAAAAGTATTTTGTGCTAATCTTTACATAACCTCAAAGTCAACTTCCACCTCTGAGTGACGATACAAATCCTGAAAGTCAACTGCTACCTCTGAGTAACGATATAGCTAGTGAGGACACACTTTTTGTAAACTATTATGTGGATTTTCAATTGATTTTTTTAATATCATTTATTTTGTTTATTCTATTTTTTACAATGAAATCAATTTCATGATAATTTCAGAGGCTTTTTCTAATTTATAAAAGAGTGATAGAAATAGAGTGATTTAAATGTTCATTAAAGAGCAGAAGTAAGTTCATGATAGCATTATTTTTTTGGGGGGAATATCAAAATAGCGAATTAATGTTCTGTTGTGCGCAACGGAAATTTCAGTAGCACCTCTGGTGCACAAGGTGCATAACAAGAGATTAGATCACAACGAAATTCCTGTTTCACAAAGGAAACAAGAACCAAAAGCAAAATTTCTCAACAAAGTGAGATATCAGCTCTTCCTCTCATCAGTTCTAGGATTGACTTGTCGAGGAAACCTACAAGCTATTACAAATCACAGCAAGACAACGAATTTTACGTGGTTCGGCAAATAGCCTACGTCCACGGGGCAATGAGAGGGGGGAGATCTACTATTAGAGGGAGAGAATACAACTAGGGTTTACAATCACACAACTTAAACCCTCAACAAGCTCTCAAATCCCTCAATAAAAATCTCTCTCAAAAGGGATGCACAAAAGAAAACCTTCTCAAATCTCTCGGCCAACTTTTCTCTCAGCCTACTTTTGCTCTGCCGAAAAAACAATCACAGCCGAAAAAAGCCATCTTCTTGCACTTTCTTCAAAGCCACACGAAACCCTAAAAAATATATTTTTAGGCTCTCAAAAAAACATGTCTCGTGAACACGTTTTGCGTTTGCTCGTGGGTGTGGCCCCCACGTGCAAAGCGCATCTCGTGACCACGAGACGCGCTCGTGGGTGTGACCCCCACGAGTCACGCATTCACAATTCTCCACCTCGGTGAAGTTTCTCCCAAAACTGAGCCGACACCAAAACATCCAAATGTCTCACTTGTTGTGTCCAGTACGTCGTGAAGTTAATTTATGACATCAGACTCAATCCACAACAAGTCGGGAACTCGAACGAGAGTCCAAACAATCTCACCCCCATCAAAATAAACTGATCCAATCGGCTGTATCGTAAAGACTGCCTACGTATCCTCTTGCCCAAGGAATCAAGCCTTACGTAGTTCACCCAAATGGCCTCCAAAGGCCTCAACACCGAAGAATATTCAAAAGTTCCAAACAATAACCAAACTTAATACCTGAAACAACTTTGGTCAACATATCCGCAGGGTTGTCCTTCGTGTGGACCTTCTCCAATATGACGTCTCTATCATCCAAAATGTCACGAACAAAGTAGAATCTGACATCGATGTACTTCGTGCGCGCATGATAAACCTGGTTCTTCGGCAAATAGATAGCTGACATGCTATCACAATATACCCGAAGGGTATCCTATGCAATCCCCGAGTTCTCCAATAATCCACGTAACCAAAAAGCCTCCTTAACAGCTTCAGTCACCGCCATATACTCCGCCTCTGTAGTTGAGAGAGCCACTGTGGACTGAAGTGTGCATCTCTAACATACCGGTACTCCTGCCAATGTAAACACATATCCTGAAGTAGACAGGTGCTTGTCAAGATCTCCAACATAATCTAAATCTACGTCACCAATACAATCATGCCCATTCTTCTCATCCTTTTGGAAAATTAAACCAACATCCATGGTACCTTTGATATACCATAAAATCCACTTCACGGCCTCCCAATGACCCTTCCCGGGGTCGTGCATGTACCTCGATACCATGCTCACAGCCTGTGACAAGTCTGGCCTCATACATACCATCGCATACATCAATCTACCTACTGCACTGACATATGGGACATTCGATATATAATCTCTGTTCTCAACTGAAACAGGTGACATACTAGCTGAAAGCTTGAAGTGAGGAGCCAATGGAGTACTTACTGCCTGTGCATTTCCATCAAAACTGAATTTCTTCAACATCTTCTGTAGATAACTCCTTTGTGTAAGCTTCAATCTCCCCTTCACCCTATCTCTCTCGATCTCCATACCCAATATCTTCTTCGCCTCTCCAAGATCCTTCATCTTAAACTCAGATGACAGTTCCTTTTTTAACTTTCGAATAGCTGAAGAATTCCTGGAGGCAATAAGCATATCATCAACATATAATAACAAATAGATGTACTCACCATCCTATAGCTTGTGCATGTAAACACATAGCTAATATGGGCTCCTTGTGTATCTTCAGCCAATCATAAAGCCGTCGAATCTCTTGTACCATTGTCACGGCGATTGTTTCAATCCGTAAAGAGACTTCTTCAGCTTGCATACCAATTCTTCCTTTCCTGCAGCTTTGAACCCTATAGGTTATGTTATTTAGATCTCCTCATCTAAATCTTCATGTAGAAAGGTTGTCTTAACATCCATTTGGACCAAATCTAAATCTAGTTTTGCCACCAACACCAATAAAATCCGACTCGACGAATGCTTTATAACGGGTGAAAATACTTTGTTGTAATCAATGCCCTCAAGGTGTGCGTATCCTTTGGCAACCAATCTAGCTTTGAACAGAATGTCCCTAATAGAAGATCCCTCCTTCTTCGCATATATCCACTTGCAACTAATAGTTTTCTTACCCTTAAGTACCTTTGCAAGTTCCCAAGTGTCGTTCTTCTGAAGAGATCGCATCTCCTCCTCCATATCTTCCCTCCATCCGATCAAATCGAGGCTAGACTCTGCCTCTCTGAATGTGGATGGAACCATATCATCAATGACCTTCACTGATAATGCATATGCGACCATGACATCATTATACCTAGCTGGCCGATGAATTACCCTTCTAGGTCTATTTGCTACAATAGACTTCTGAACATGACCATGCTCTTGAGTCTCACAATCCACTGTATCCTCTATCTGCCCAGCTGTCATCCCATCTCCTCCCAGTGTCACATCTATAGGAGCCTTGATGGATACAATGCTCTCTGGAGTGAGTGGAGTCACATCATCCTCCACCTGTTGTGATTTCTCCTAAATCTGGTCTTCCTCCACCTGCTGAGGAACTTGAGGCTTCATCATGTACGCCTAGTCAAATATGGCATCCCTGCTAATAACTATCTTCTTATCCTGTGGATCCCATAACTTGAATCATTTAACTCCATCTCTAAATCCCGTAAAGACTGCTTTCCTCGCCCTCGGATTTAATTTACTATCACTGACATGGTAATAAGCAGGACACCCAAATATCCGAAAGGATTCATAGTCACTAGCTACCGAACCAGACCAACGCTCCAACGGAGTCTTTCCCTGTATCGCAGTGCACGACAACCTATTTATAAGATAGCCCGCATAAACCAACACCTCGGCCCAAAAGGATCTATGCAATCCACTCTGTATCAGTATACATCGCACCTTTTCTAACAAGATACGGTTCAATCTCTCAGCCATCCCGTTCTATTGTGGTGTCTCTAGAACTGTGAAGTGTCGCCTAATGCCGTGATCCCGACAAAACTATAAAAACGGATCACTCTTATACTCTCTACCGTTATCTGAACGTAGAATCTTCATCTTTCTACCTGTCTACAACTACACTTTTTTTTCATTCCATAAAAATATCCAGGACCTCATGTTTATGCTTCATAGGGTATACCCAATTCCTCATGGAATAGTTATTAATAAAAGTGACAACATAGTTGGCCCCACCAAGTAATGTGTTCTTGAACGGACCCCAAACATCTGTGTGAATGTAATCCAATGTATCATGGGTATTGTGAATAGTGGTGCCAAACTTCACTCTAGTCTTCTTCCCAAGTATACAATGCTCACACAGCTCTATCTTATAGGTCTTAGCACCTTTCAGTAGCCCATGTTTCGCTAATGACTACAGGGACTTATCTCCTGTGTGTCCTAGTCTCATGTGCCATAATATGGTAATGTCCTCCTCTGTAGTGATAGAAGCTGCCAGACCCCATGTAACTATCTTGCCCTTCAAGTAGTATAGGAAGTTTTTCCTGACTCCTCACATCACCACCATAGAACCCTTCGTGACCTTCGTTGTAGCATCCTCTAAGGTCACCCGATAACCAACTGCCTCCAAAGTACTAAGAGAAATGATATTATTCGTTAACTGCGGCACGAATCTCACTTCTTTTAATTCCCTCACCGCTCTGTCATGCATCATAATCTGGACTAAACCAATACCACCAATAGGGTATACGTGGTTATTTCCCATAAGCACGACATCCCTTCTTTCTAGCTCCTCAAAGCTAGAGAACCAATCCCTTCTAGGGCATATATGATATGTGGCTCCTGAATCCAACATCCACTCCGTGGAGTCGGCATAGCAAGCTGACAGTAGTGCAAAGAATGAATAGCCTGAAGAATCTAACTCTGAATGTTCATTAATAGCTTTTGCAATATTTACATATGAAGCTTGTACAACTTTCCCTTCATTCTTCCCGGCTTTATCCTTCAACTTTAGGCAGTCGATCTTCCAATGTCCCTCTTCTTTACAAAAGCGACATTGATTCCTACCAATACTCTTATGGCCATCTCTATTCTTTGATTTTGAGTGGTTGAACTGGCAGCGTTTTGGATCACAGCCCGAACTGCTAATGCATCTCCCGATGCCTTCTCGGAGGGTTCACCATTACTCTTTCTCAACTCATAATTTACCAACGCTGAGATCACCTTTTTATAACTAACAATAGTTCTTCTATTGATCATAGTAAGAATGAACGTACCATACCATAATCATCCTCTAGTAACAAACACAAAAGTAACATCGCCTTGTCTTCATCCTCAACCATGATGTCCATATTGGCCATATCTCAAAGTAGCTTCGTAAAATTATTGACATGCTCCCTGATGGAATCTCCCCTCTTCATCTTGAATTAGTAAAACCTCTTCTTCAAGTAAAGTCGATTCTCAATGCTCTTCGTAAGATACTTCTCATTCAGTATTTCCCACATTATCTTCACCAACGTCTCGTTCATTACATCATAAATAAGATCTGGCGTCAAACATGATCGAATAACTCCACAAACCCTACTATTCATCTTCTTCCA